GAAGTTATTATGTACGACGACGACGGCCATCATGGCTAAGTAAGAAGGCATCACCCGTACCCCCGGTGCGTTGCACAGACACTTCGCTGCCACACTACCGCCATCATCCGAGAGTGAGTTAGGGGTACTGCGATATCATCTGGTCGCCCACGGAGATTCGAACCGGTGACCATCAGATTACAACATAGATCCCTTATCCTTTCGGACATTTACCTGCTGTGACAGCGTGGTTCATCCTTCTAGAGGTTAGTAACCATGGCAAAGGTATACATGATTGGCAGCCTACAGAGAGAAGCTGCAGTTCTTAGGGTCAATTCCATAAACCTGCAATAGGATAACTGACATAGCAGCCAAGCATAAAATGCGCTGTCAAAATTAGTGGCACAGGAAAGTAGAACATTTCCGTCGACCTACATGACCTGGCGTCAAGCGTCGCTGATTTCCGAGCTGGGTAACACTAGATACAAGAGAAACGAACGCCGTAGATGAATCTTGACCGAGTGGGATACCGTCTAGCGCTTTTCTTAATATGCAGCAGCTGCTGCTTGAATTAATCTGAACGAATTTTTAAAAAAAGTCGTAACAGGCCACCTTCCTTCGATGCTGGGGCTAGGTGTACCATTGGTCGTACACTTCGCCTCGTTTCTTACCACAGACACGTCCAAAACGCGGCACCCTAGTGTGTGAATGAATGAGAAGCAGGCAATACTCTATGTAATCTCTCGTGAAAGCAGTTATAACGTACGCCTCAAATCTACAGTGTTCCGGGTATTTCATAATATTCATCAATTGTGAAGATAGACGGATACTGACGTGTTTGTAAAAGAACCGCACGATGTTGCGCGGTTACTGAAGGGGGGTAGAGACCTGTCCGCCAAGCATCAAGCACATTGGGAGATTGTCCTGTTTGACCACTGATACCAGTAAGCATTGGTCAGTTCTGGTGAGAGCACCAAGTAAGTATTACGTAAGTTTATCGCTCGAGGTTGCAAAGGTGTTATATTTCCGCTCGGGTAGGGTCGGACCACGTCCCAAATCAGAAGACATATGCAATTGGCAAAACTTCTACGGAGCAAAAAATATAGAGTCCAAATAAATGGTTCATAAGAGAATAATCCAATTAAAAAATCCTGGATTCTAGTAACTAGTATACACCCGAAAACCCGCTTATTGGTCGTTCAAGTAGTGCACTTAGTAAAGAGCTATCCTATTCGGCGGTTTTTAAGGTAAAACGATCACATTGACTAGCCCATCAGCTTCAGATGGGGAAGGGGGGACAATCTGCCTCAGGCTGCTGGCTGGAAGCCAGCTTTCTCTTGTTGCTATGGTCGGGTAGCCTTAACAACGGTTAGACCAAGTGCTCAACAAGTCTGAAAATCAGCTGCTTTAGGGCCTGTTGCTTTTCACCCTGTGATGATGAAATGGGTGAGACGTAGAGGTGGCCAGCCAATGAGAGCATGAATTGTCTCACCGAAAGACCAAGTACGGCTGACGCTTGTTGTCCCACTGGGTGAGCTTTTCAGAACTCGGCCACATGAGTGGTGAAACGCCCCATAGGATTTAATGGCATTGTTATTTTCGCTCGCTCAAATTTGACTCCTAGTTAATTCATCTAGAAACTTAAAAAGCTTGAACTATAAGTAGTATGATAATTGTCACCAATTTGTCGGCGAGCTAGGGAAGCCGGATCCAGTCGAACTCGGTGCACGGATCTCAGCTGCGCGGCGCGACCGGACTGGACGGAAATCCGCTCCACTACTGGTCCACGAAGGAAAAAGTTGGGCTCAGCGGACTGAATACAACCCGGGTTCCTCGCGATGGTTTGTGGCTAACTAGGGTTCAGCAAAGGAGTCTAATCACACCGTGCCGGGGGGATCGAGAGAACCCAACAAGCCTGTGGTCGTCCACAACCGTGTTCTCACAACCTCGGAAAGCAAACAAGATGTGTTATAATAATTTGTGGTAAAACTGTAATGACCGGTTTGTATGTGACAGGGTGCCGCTGTCCGAAGAAGCGAACTCTCGAAAAGCTGGCGCTCACTGTGCCTGCTTTTCTCACCGACATGGTGCAAAACAGAGCAACAGAACAGGCAGTAGATGAATAAAATGGGGAGCGATTCAATGAGCACTCAGCTAAATAAGTTCAATTTAAATCGCGCAGATCAAACTGACCTGGAATTTTGCACTGGTCGAAAATTATTTCACTTGTGTGGTCCACGCATTCCAAGCTTGCGTAGCTTCTTTACTACGCTGAATATATATATATATATATATATATATATATATATATATATATGGTTGGCGGCATCCGGTTTCGGATTTGCCTGTCACTGTGGCAAGCCACAGGACGCCTGCGCCTACAGAGGGACCATGGATGGCTTGCGCTGCACCACCCACAGCTCCAACCACATACCCCATATCCAGTGTAAACCCGAAGGAATAAGACCGGGAGGCATGCGGATGGGAACCACGTTTCATCAACGGAGTCAGCCCACACTCCTTCACAGGCAAACACAAGCACGCTGTATTTGGGGAATCAACCGCACACAAGGTGGTGGCTGGACCGTAGTCCGCTCCACACTGAATGCATGGAACCGCTCTTTGAGCCTAGCACGGCCACAAGAACCGTGCACCCCGTCCCCTCCAGCAACGACCAACTGTCTCCTGGAGCCAGTATGAACGATGTAGTGGGTAATAGACAGGTAGGCACCTTGTCAACATACACATCAAGCGCAACCATACCAGGGATATCAAACAACAGCCATTCACTTTAAACGACAAGCTGAAATTAAATAAATCCAATAATGCATACAGATACGGTGGCATAACTCTTCGCTAAATTACCATATGAAGTAAGTTGGTTAGCAACAAATCCGTGATAAGTAAGAAACGTCCACAAGTTACTTAAAATGCTACAAACGCAACAAAATTACCGAAGATAAGCGCAATTAGTGTAAGCAACGTGGCCAGTTAATAGAAGATTATTCAGGTAGGCAGAACAAACCAAATAAAGCGGAATGAAATTTAGACAGCTTTAAAAGACCTAGTTTAAGTGTAAGTTGGTTTAGCCCAACTGCGGTGAAGAAGCATCAAGAATGCAATTTATATATATATATATATATATATATATATATATATATATATATATATATATATATATATATATATATATATATAAAGGTGGAAGGGACAGCATATGAAAATCTATGGCTTTGTCCCTAAGCGGGACAAACAAGGCCCTGTGAAGACTTTGTTTAACAAGGCCAGAAAAATATACACTGCTGACACAGTGAAACAAGAGGTGTGGCTAATTACCAACACGCTCGTAGACAATGGGTACCCACCGTCCTTCATCGCTGTTTAGCGCTGAGAAAGCGGAAGAAAGTGTGCCCAAAGTACCGAAACCGAAAGTAACTCTGCAAATGCCATTCAAAAGGGACGGCGTATGTCAGGTATTTCGGCGCCGGTTGAAACTTCCAGTGGCGCGCATACACCCTGCGGCAGAACCAGTTCTAATCAACACAACGAAACGTATCGGTACTCCATCGGTTAACCCCAGCTGTCACTGTCTAACAGTTCACACATCCTATACCTTTTACATGTATTTGCGGGCATAACAGAACGACAAAAGAGAATGAGGGTTGCGGAGCACATACCGGCGTGAGTTAGTAAACACGTTTTGTAGATGACCGGATCTGCCATTCGATATGCGCAGCAAATGAACCGAAAGGATGTTTCGTACAAACAACCAGCGTCATAAATCGCCCGCCATCTGCTAGCTGATAACCACTGTGCAGACTCCGTGAATGCCTTTCGTGTTGTCTATGACTCAATGATCCCCTAACTTTACGATATGCTGAGGCCGTGGCCAGCAAACAACTTGGCCCAACTCTGTGTGCAGTAAGGCGCATTTGTGACCCTGACTCTGCCGTGGTAGCGGGTCGGGAAGATGGCAAGATGACATGTATGTATGTGTGTTCATTTTGGTCAATTTGTCATTGTAACTATGCTCACTTCATGATGATATAAATGCACACGTCTGTAGTACGCGCTTGAAAATGTGCAGAGAGAATTTTCCGGAATTACATCGTGCGGCACTCTTGTGTTAACTTTCTGATATGACTACTATCAACATATGTGATCATATGGAAATGAACAGTCAGTCAGCATTCAGTTGAGTGAGTTCAAAGGTCAACGGGAACGATGGAGTGTTTCAAACGAACAACACAGTAGTTTTATCGTGGAATATAAGCATCATACACCATTAACCAACGTTAAATGCGTCGGAACTCCAAGGAATCATACAGCTATAATAACTAAGCGCCTTCACTCTTGGCATCTTGGTCCGACTGAATTAGCTGAAATATGTGTATGTGTGCTTGCCATTTGTGTAGAATAAATCCACATTGTGTTCTGGCACAAAGTGAAGCGATCTTACGTACCCAAGAGAAACGTCTGAGACGAGTGTGGCGCAGTCGCAGAATAATAAAGGCTTCCACTAGTGTGTTACCCCATTGGAACAAGTCAAGACGTAAGTAGGCTGGGCTATTGGCCGTGTGGCGTAGCCCGTCCAGGAGTCTTCAAGGTGCAAAAATGTCCTGTGCTAGATAGCAAGCACAGTGAGCGACAAATTGGGAAACATGTTGCCAACAGTGCTGAAGCATTATATAATACTCGTCCGGCAGGTGGTTTTCGTCAGTACAAAGTAGTCGAGAGCAAAATATGGCAGATGACAGTTCACAATGTCTCGTGGTATACCAGAGTGAAAACAATATTTATGTAATAGGAGGCTGGTAGGAAACGGGGAATGAGCAAACGTAGGCCGAGCACCTAATGCAATGGTGTTATTTAAGTTTGGAAAGATAATTTCATGCTAGCGTTTAGTGTCGTAGGCTTGACAACAAGGGATTCTAAAGACGTAACAATGGAGAAAGAAGATGAGGGAAGAAACGAACGCAACAAAATATACCGAATACACTAAGTAGGGAACAGTAACGCACGTGTCACACCGACCGCCACATCCACAGGCTCACGCAGAATAGCTTCAGGACAGTCGTGAGCCAGCTGCTCGATTTCTACTCCGCCTTGTTTACAGGCAACTAAAATGGGGCATCCGGATTCTCTGTCCATAAGGAGTGCCAAGTACGTCTCGCGCTTGATGTCTAGCGCCTCTGCGACCATGACCTGAAGAGGTGGTAATGAAGTTAAACTAAAATGGAAGGCACGATGTCCACCTTCGCAAGCGTACATATGTGAAAAAATTGATCGTAATAGCTAAAGCGGACAGATCACTTTTTAGTAAACCGAGCAAACTAAATGCGAAGGCATAAACGAAGGTGGAGGTTTAATAAGTCGTTCAAGTTTAACCACCAGGTATGACATGAGGACGTAGGGATCAGCCAATATTAAAAGACGCTGTAAAGAGAGTTAGATGCACAGAGTATAGCAGCTAAGACTGCTGTATCGATAAGTTGCCGATAGATAAAAGTGGTATCCAATCTGAAGTCATAGAGAATATGAATGCGCGTTATAAAAGAGCAGATGAATGCAGTACCGTGGCGAGAAAACAAAAATGACTGATAGAATGGTAGTGAGTTTCTAGGTAACCGCCATGTGCTTGAATTGCAAAACGTAAAATGTATAGGGATCCCGATTTACTTCGGAGCAAACCTCGGCGAACTCGATCACTGGGATTGTATCCGCCGAGGAATACACATTTATTCATTCATTTTATTTTATTTCGGAGCCGCTTGCTACAAATATTGTACTACAGCACTTTCGACCTTATTCGCCCCAACAGGTACGAACAGCTAGAGTCGAAACTTAGACATAAGATGTGCAGTGGTTAACAATGCTTCGTGTTTTCCCGACATCCTTTCTACATTTTGTTTGCATTAACCAAAAAAAACGAAAAGATACTCCTTCGAAATCCGCGCTCACGTCGTGCTGATTCTCGGCTGGTGCTGCTTCTGCGTGCTTACACTGCCTTCCAGTTTGCCTGAAAGCCAGAGACTTACCGCGGAATAACAGTCGAATGTGTGTTTCCGTTGGGTGCGAGGTGTATGACAGGCATATCGTCCTTCGTAACTACAACTTAACTGTGATTTGACTGTGACTTGATTTTACATGACGTTCTTGCAATTATTGAGGAACTGAGGCCTTTCCATGTCTCGTAGGCCCCTCTATTTTCGAAAACCCATTTTTCCCCGTCGTGTGTTATCAGGCAACTTTTCTGACAATCCCTCAAATTTTCGCTTCCCACTTTTAATGTTTCTAAGCCATGTATACGGTTTTTCGAAGTGGAAGATACTTTCAGTGTCGCAACAAGATCTCACAGTCAACCATATTTTCCTATGGCACTTCGCAATTACCTGTCTCGATTGCCTCTGGAGTCGTCAACATTTCTGAATGCATGCCTCCATAGGCACTAAATGATAGTCTTAAGGCAGTGTTTTTAAAGCGCGCCACAGTATCTGGTGAAGTACGTTTGAAACAAGCTTGGTGTCCGCATCCCATCTCAGATGTTGCAACACATGAGTCCTCTTCTTGGTTCGTCGAAACTTGACGGCTCCATACTGCGCCAACTTTGGACTAAGTGGCTTCCGGCCAACATTACTGATATTTTTTCAATTTTTGGTAACGATCTAACAATGGAAAACTTCGCAGAAGCTGCTGACACGGTGTATAAGTGATTCTTTAAAATGTAGCCGAATCTCACAACCCATCTTCCAGCACCGCACTTGATTCCATCAACAGATTTTTCAGTTTAGAACTCAGCGTGTCTGCTAGTAGACGTGAATGCTCTAGCAACTGAAGAAGCTCCGCACGAACTCCGCATCGCAGCAGATCATGCTCACGACATTAGCGGTCATATTGCTATTTCCATCGTCGCTTTGGTGAAGCAGCACGTAACTGCCGTCCGGGTTGTAAATAACGGAAGCATTTTCTATATCGAACCGTCAGGCGACAAAGCTAGTCAGTAGAGGTGACGGCTGTCGCTGGCCAAGTCATCAATCTCCCTCTGTACGTGTTCGACTCTATGACTAAGCCTCATTTTTTGGTCTATACAGTAACCAAAATAAACGTTATACCCAGACCTTTGGAAAAACGCGCTCTGCAACCAGCCGGACTCACGATAAATAGGGCTAAATAGACAAAAATATTGACTAAAAGCCAGAAGCGCCTTAAACTAAGCCTTAGCTTACGATGAAAATTTCCCTACTTCTTTATCATCGCGGATATCCAGACGTATATACTTGGCATTGCATTCCTCAGCAAACTTGGCCTTGTGGTTGATCTACGTTTTAGGAAGCTATGGGATGACAGCACTTCACTAACTGTCTCTCGTTAGTTTACTACAGTTAATTCTGTCGGACTTGGTGTACTCATTCCATGCAGCAATTTCGATCTTTACTCCGAACGAATACAGATACGACGGAGTTTAGACAGGAGGTTCGTCACCATAACGTCACTACAAGTCCATCTGTGTCTGCCAACTCGAGGCGCTTCTCACGTGACAAACTGTAAACTGCCAAACGAAAACTCGAGCATATACCTAACCCCGGCATCATCCGCCCCTCCATCGGCCAGTAGGCATCTCGCTTTCATCTGGTACTATGCGGGGATTATCGGCTCTGAAGAGCATCAACATCCCTGATCGGTACTTTATTCTGCATGTTGATCACTTTTTATTGGGAGTAGCCGAATAGTCCGTGTTTTCTAAGATCGATCTTCGAGCTTATCATGAAATCACAATGGCACCTGAAGAGGTTGCCAAAACCGCCGTTATCATATCCTTCGGTTTATGCGAGTTCATCTGCATACTTTTCGACCTCCGCGATGCCACACAGTAATTTCAACGTTTCATTGGTCAGGTCCTTCGTAGCCTAGATTTCACTTTTGTCTATATCGAAGTCATAATAGCCAGTGCAACGACAAAAGAGCACATGGAGCACCTTCGACAAGTTTTTGAGCGTTTCGACCATCAGAGAATAACGAGAAATCCCGATAAATGTGTGTTTGATCAATCATGTATCGATTTTCTTGGCAGCAGAATCGACAGCGAAGGGGCCAGTCCATGAAATACCCACCGCCTCAATCTATTAAAAACATACGCCGTTTGCTCGGCATGATCAATAACTGTAGAAGGTTCACTCACTAGTATGCTGCCATTTTCCAGCTACAGAGTAATTTTCATAGCTAACCCGAAAAAGTTTACGCTTACCCCGAAATCCGAAACAACGTTTCTTGCCATCAAGCAGAAACTAAGCTAAGTAACTTTCCTGAGCTAGTTGAAAATGAATAAAAATGTCTTACTCATTCTTAAAACCGACGCCTCACAATCCGTTGTCGGTGCTGTTTTACATCAACTGATCGGTAGTGAGATCCAGCCATTGCTTTTTTATTCTAGGAAGCTACAATCAGCATAGACCAAATAAAGTACATTCGGTCAAGAAATTCTTGAAAGCTAATTAGCTGTCAAACAATTTCGTCAAGTCATTGAAGGATGACGTTTTGTTATCCTGATGGACCACAAGCCTCTGGTCTGAGCCTTTCGTTCTGCTTCCGGTCGTTATTCCCAAGAGAAACACGGCATTTGGATTACATCTCACAATTCTGTGCCGACATTTGTCATATGGACAGTGCGAACAACGCTGTTGCTGATACACTCTTCTGTGCCCATGCTCACCATCTTTCGCCTTCACCCATAAATCCTGAGGAAATGTTTGTGGCTCAGATGAACGATCCGGAAGCTGCACAAATTCTAACGAATACTTATTTGAAGTGCTTACAATTGCTAGTGTTAAACTCAGATGCAACAATTTACTGTGATGTTCTCAGACAGTAGGTTCCCCGGGCATTCAGGCGAACCATATTCGACCATTTTCAGGGACTATCACATCCAAGCACCCGAACCACCGTGAAGGTAATGTGGCCTGAAAAGCGCGCGGATATCCGGCAATGGGCTAAGCAGTATCTCAGCTGTCAAAACAGCAAAGTTCACCGACACATGATCATTGTCCTCGGAACTTTCTCACAATCTGAAGCACGGTTTAGACATGTTCACGTACTTAGTTGGACAACTGCTTCCTCGAATGGTTTCACTTCTCCCATGAGGTGCACAGATCGTCTCACTCATTTGCCGTATACGATTCATTTAAGCGACACCTACTGAAACCGTGATCTGTGCATTTTCTGGATCTTGGATTTCTTTTCGGCGTACTATCCCCGATTACCACCGATAGATAAGCGCAAGTTAGCTTCAGGTCGTTCTGTGATTTGAGCTGCTTATTGGGTTGTACTCACATTCGGACAACCGCCTATCATCCCGCTGAAAATGGCCTTGTCGAACGTTCGCATCGACAGTTAAAAGCCATCATCAAAGGCAGTTTATCTGACACACGTTGGCCTGGGTGTATTGCAGCTGTTCTTCATGGTATTCGTAATATTGGATGTTGCCCTGCCGAACTCGTCTTTGGCACAATTCTCAGGCTAACAATTGAGAATAATGGATTCCTGAGATACCAGGGAATCGGATCCTGTTTTACGCTGAACGCCTTAAACACTTTCGTGCTCTTCGACCTATTGCTTCTCTATTAAAGGCACGAGAATAACGAATTCATCCGAATCTACATACTTATTCATTCGTGTTTAATCCCATCGATGCACCTCCATATAAAGGCCCCTGCAAGGTGTTGTTATTCAAACCAAAATATTTCATCTTGGAGAAGACTGGATTGAAAGGGATACGTAGGCATCAATCGTCTTAAACCTGCTTGAGTCTATTGTTGGACATTCAGACAGATACTGTGACCCATACCAGGTTACACTAGTTAATAACCGACCGATGAGGATGGATCAGAACTGCAATGCACTCGTTCGACGAAGGATGCTAGACACACGTTCAGGTCGTTCGGTTTCGCTATACTTCAAACTAGTTGAATGGTCTTTACACCGTTTGATCAAGCGTTTCCTTACTAGTTCACGCTCTTCGGAGGGGGGGGGGTTAATAAGTGATTATTATTGTTTCATATGTTTTATTTTCGTAGACAATGTTGTCGCGACATCTGTCGTACAGTTTATTTGGATTAACGAAAAAAGGCACTACAATACACTCCTTCGAAATTCGCACTCACGTCGTGCTGATTCTTGGCCGGTGTCGCTTCTGCGCGCTAACACTGCCT